TATAATAATAATTGTGGACTTGATTCAAAAAAGCTAAACGGTCGTAAAAAAAGTCACACTTGTGTTGTTCACCATTGGAAATTAATGGGAAATACACAAAAATACAGAGAATTATTTGTGTGTACAATCACAATGCACGAAAAAAGTTCACAGCAATGAAGGGGTGACACTCTAAAATATCAAGAGTGCAAAACAGATATGAACTAGTGTGACTGTAACACAAAGCACGTTTTTGCAAATATGTGAAATAAAATCAATAATTCCAGCCACAATGCAATAAAAACATTGGAAGAAACACCAAGGAAGGGGTGACACTCTAAAACTTCAAGAGTACAAAACACACACACACACTCACACTCACTATTATACACACAGATGAACTGGTGTGGCTGTAACAATATGGTAAATTTGAGCTAGAAGACTTAAATAAGAGGTTGAAATGAGATTGATTAACCTCTGATAAAACATTCCTGTTCATTTTTCAACAACATGTCTTTCTCTGTGTTCAGGTTTGACCAATTTAATGCAAAAACTGACATTTCAAACAAAAAAAATCTAAATCTTTATAAAAAGTTGTCTTTGAGAATGTCTAAATATAAAACCAAATCCGCAACTTTAAAAAAAAAAGTATTTATGTCTAAAAACAACTAGAGAATTTATAAGCCTTTTATACAGAGCTCTATAGGAAACCATGGAATTGCAGATGTTTTTATTTTTTTTAAACTCTCACCAGATGCCTTCAAAAACTGGATTTTAAAGGCATTGTCTCTATTTTAACATGAAATACTGCCATAATTGCAAAAGTAATAAAAAAATATTAGATTTTTTTTATTATTTTAAATGGGAAAAATGTATAATAATTATTGCATAAATATTAAATAAATATAATTAATTAAATAACATTAATTTCACTGAAAATAAAAAAAGTTACATTTCAGGTGTCCTGTAACAACACAAGTGTGACTCCCAAATGAACTACACCAGAGAGTTAAACCAAATTCTTAAAAGATTTAAAAAGATTTATTTATATTGGTATAGCACACCCATCAACGCCTCTCTCGCTATTTTCGGGCTATTCTCGGTAAAACTCCAAGCTCCGCCCTTTCTACGGTTCGCCGCCCCTCGAACGAGCCTATCCACGTCAAGTGCGCTCCCGCGCTGGACTACAACTCCCACAATGCACCGGGACTCTCCCTTCAACGCAGCAGACGCGTGAAATGCGCAATTAAAACAGCTCGAAGTTGCAGCAGCAGCCGTGAAAGTGAAATGAAATGCGTTTAACCGGCTCTAACCTGCAGAAAGGACGCGTGCAGCCGCGCGTGTGAGTTAGTTTGGCGCCGGCGGGGTTTTCTGCGTTAGTGTGGACGGTGACTGGAGTTTCTCACTTCATCAGAAGCTCGTTCAAGAGCTTAGCAGTCCGACAGCACGGGAATGTGCGAGCAGACCGTCATCAGACTCCGGTAGAGTCGGTGTTTTTCTGCTGAGAGCTTCAACAGGTGCAGGCAGACCGTCAGGTGAGCGGCGAAATGTCACGATAACCGTTGTTTTGCTAACACGCTAACATGCTAAAGCACTTTGAGACTAATATTGAGAAATGTGTTATGAGTTCAGCTCTGCCTCTGAGCAAATATTTAATAACGGACCATTTCATTTGACGTCGGAACATTTATCTGTTGTTGTTTTTGGCAAGTGTTTTATATTTGATCGATTTACACGGTCAGTCAGAATCCTTGGCTGTAAATGATCTGGTGTCTTTCATAAATAAGCTTTAATGTTCTGCTGACAGGTGCTTTGTGTTGATGCTTTTCTTTTATTTAAGCTGTTTTGC